AATGGAAAATGAGCGGTGATGTCGCCCGTTGCTATGAGGTTTAGACTCGGGAACGCTCACAGGGGACGAAGTCTTGTTTTCTACCACACAAAAGAACTCTTGGGCAATTGAGCAAAGCCCCGGATATCTCCTGGAGAGGTGGTGAAATATCTGGAAGTGTCTTGTTTGACAACTGTATAAGAAATTGGCCTTTTTACTTCTACAGCGGCATAGAAAGATATAATTCGATATCAATAAAAAGGAGTGGATCTTGTGATTATGTTATTATGTCTGTGGTGGCGGAAGGTATATTGAGGTTTCAATTAGGAAGTATGGCGTGGATGTGTATGTGCTAGCACTGCCCGATGGGGAGATAAGAACGTATATAGACGCGGCTACCTGATGATTAGTGTTGTACTAGAGGTCTCTATCTCAGAAGACCATGGAAGGAGCTTGAGATCCTACGGAAGTGAGTATACCGGTGGTGTCTTGGTGGTGAGGTAGACCTGGGGGCAGTATCTCCAGCCCCTCCAATAACGCCAACCGGCTTGGCCCCCTAGCTCATTGATGTGTTCCAACACAGCAATTATCCCTACCTGTCTGAGATCAACCCCACAAGGTTGGGATGAGGCTGAGGTCCATAGAGCGGAGCTCCATCACTTCGAGCAACCACGCAGAAGCATAGCACTATCCGAGATCGCTGGCTCATACCATGCAACATACACCGTAAGCTATAACTCTCTTGCTGTTGACCATCAAGAATCATGACTCAATGCTGGATTTTCGGTCCCCAGAGCCTCTGATCAACAAATCCGACCTAACCACACATCTTGACCTGAGCTGCCATATTCCCATGAACATACCCAACTCACCTCACAGCACACCTCCAACCATCCAGAGCTAACCCCAACAAACCCAAATGCAACCACTGACTCGTCCTTCCATACCCAGTGTCACAGAGTGACTCAGTAGACAGCAACACTTCAACCCAACTCCCTAAAGAATCGTACGATCCTTGTCCCCACCCACCGAATCACGACAGCTCCTTTCGAGGCTCAATCTTCACCTACTTCTCGCATCGTCCCATCCCTAATGTTCAAGCTGGAGTGGTGGGACCGGAAAACATCCCCCGTGACATCGGTGCCCTGCTCGGAGCAGTAACGATGACACTATCTGCAGAAAACAAATCCCCGGACAAGAACAAGAACAAGAAGGGATGGCCCGGTCGAGTCGACGGGCGAGCTGCATCATCGCTGTGGGCGCACCATTGAGCACCTGATTGAGCCCAGACAATATCAGGTTCGTTCCCCATCGGCTGTCGGATGCAGGGGGTGGTTCCGGGTGTGGAGAGGTGCGTCCTTGGTATCGATACCTGCGAGTCAGTCTCCTTGCAGGGGAGATGCATTTCTCGGGATGAGGAGGTGGAAGCATGAGGCTGTGGGGTTTGGTAGCTGCTTCGGTAGTTGAGGTGTGCCGTTGGTCTGCTTCAGATTGGATGCGGTGGCGACGACAGGTTCGTGTGCTGGTTTATAGGGAACACCAAAGAAGTACTTCAAGCCATACTCTACACTCATCAACGGTTGTGCGCATGTATTCGAGGGCGATGGTTTGCGACGAACAGTCTCAGAATTCTAGCCATGGAAACGATGGAGAGTCAACTCTATAATTACTATATTCAGCGAAACTACATCCAGGCGACGCAAGGGTATAGGAACCTATCAGAAACAAAAAAGATCAAGTCAGACCTGTACGCGGTCAATGATGAAGCAAGCTCCCTCCTGGAAATGATCAGGTATTCGATAGTAGCCAGGGGTGGTAAGATTCGGATTATATCAGATCTGTATACGGACGTGCGGGGGCTCAGGAAAAGTCATGGTCGAGCACCCAAGGACTGAGCCCATGACTCAGACCGACACTGAGAGTTCCATAAGCACTAACGAGCCTCAATCTAATTGCGATCCCAACGGAAGGTGTCTACTCAGCCCGACACTCAACCACGGATGGTAAACACCCGGTGTCTTCTCCCGCAGAACAACCCGTAGGACAACAAAGATGCTCTAGGGTTCAAAATCCGACCGTTATGAAAAAGGGGGAGGGAGGGGGGAAGAGAAGGGGAGAACAACCACGACCCGTCATCCCCGCAAGCTTCACATGCATGGAGTACTGGGGTAGACCGTAGACGTAGACTATGGGCGGATCCTACAATGTATGACAAACACAGTCATAGTTGTGCCGGAGCTTTCCCCTCCCTCTCTCTCTCCCTTGTTGCTCGCGGCCATGGGTTTCACCGGCGAACTGCACAATACAGTCCAGTCCACTATTGAGCATCATCATCTTCTCCCTAGGAGGGTTGACCGGCATGGAAGCCACGCAGACAACCAAACGGATCGACCTTCTGACCAAGCAGAACAGTTGTTGCAGCCTAACGTTCTGGGCATGGCAGGCCAAGACTCGAGACTCGGTTGGATCTCCTGGCGGGATTGAATGGACCAACAGGACTGGTTTGCCCAGACTGTGATGAGCAATGAAACTGTGCGCCTCCCCTCTTTTCTTCTTGTTCTTTTTTTTTTTCTTCTGGTCTTTCTCGTCTTCCTCGAAATATCGCTATCACGAGTGCCCAGGTTCCAAGACATGTACAAGCCCAGGCGGCGGTGGACAGGTCATGTTATGACTCCTTTCTTCTTTCTGCCTCCCTAAAGTCCGAGAAAGTTGCGATTGAAGCCGGAATCAATCAATGCATCTCGGGCGGAGATATCGGAGAGAGTATCGATCGTAACCACTCAAGATTCGAGGTCAATTCATCTGTGTAAGAGGAGTGAGCACTATGTAGTCCGAATCTGTAGGAAGGTAGGTAGGTAAGACAGATTGCGGTTGAGGAGATTGGAAGACGATCCCGACAACCGCTAGAACTAAACAATCCCTCATATAAGTAGGACAAAACGCCGCGAGAGGAAATAAGAGTTGGTGGAGCGCCACCAGGCGTCGGCGTTACCTAATTTATTGACGGATCGACCAGCTGGACACGGCAATCCGGCTGCGAAAGTTGAACGATCCTAACTTGCCCGCGACTTTGGCACTTGGGTTTATCTTTTATCTACTTCGTACTCGAGGTGTCTTTGCACCCGCCAATGCTCGGCGGGGGTTCAGATCAGTCAGACTCAGTCTCTCGGTCAGGGTTGGTTGGTCTGTTCCTTCCCACGGAACAGGCAGGGTCTAGGCAGGCTTGGGGATCCCCCCGGAACGTCATGCTGAAGTGGGATGATTCTTTTCCTGGAATTTTATCCGCATGGACTGCGAATCTAATCTAAATAAATGAGGATGATGATTATTATTATTTTTATCTTGCATTGAATCAATCAATTAAATGTCATCTCAGCCTGCATCTCTCAGACCACGGGCACCCTGCCTTTTCTCCCCTGGTCTGGATTACGGCAGTTAGCCAGTTGGGGCTGGGTGTGCCGCTGCAGGCGGTCGGAAGGTAAAAAAGACCCCGGGCTCCGGCATTGACTTAGCGAGGGTGAGCGGTAATACTACAAACTGGACCGGGAACTGTAAGTACCAATCTAGGTAGGGTAGCATTGGCCGATTGGCCCCATCCCATGGTGACGCTATGCTGGAAAGAGGTTAAGTGACTTGGCCATCATCCCGCCAAGGCCAACAATCCATCTCCGAATGCGGATCACGAACAAATGACTCTCGGCCTGACTGGCCACCGCATCCCCCCGCAGAGCCTTGGCGTCTTGGCAGTTCAAGTGAAACAGAGCCTGACAAAAGGGAAGGGGGGGGGGAGGAAGGATGAAGGGGAATTATCTTCTGCCACTGCGGTTGTCAGATGAAAGATTCTACAATTAGACTGTAAGATGATTGCGAATATGAGACAAGAGTACGTACTCATACATAGTTACCCGTAGTGATGGATGAGGGTAAATCATCAATCACCATGGCCCCAGTCTAGGCCAGCCCTGAATAGTACTCTCGCTTCTTCCTGCTAGGTATTCTCTTCGTCCACCTCCTCCTGAGTCTTTTCCTCCCCCTCATCCCTCTCCCCTTTACTCTTACTCTTACTCTTCCTATGATTCCTGTTATTATTCCAGTCCTATCTCCTCTCCGCGCTGTGTCCGCTTCCGGCTGAACTCCCCCCCTCCCGTCCGATCGCTGGAACCACTACCACCATCAACTTCCTCCCTCTACCCTCTTTTTATTCTTCCCTCTCCCCCCTCCCAAACTTACCCTCCAACCACGCCATGCTGTTGGCCGTAACACGCTTTTGACGTTGCCCATGCCAAGGGCTCGGCAGCTGGGCGTCTTGGCAGCGAAAAAAAAGAGTCGCTTTCGATCAGAACTCCCTCCCTTTCCGCTGCTCCTGTTCGTCCTGGGAAATTCGACATGATCATCTTTTCTTGTCTCTTCTTGGGAGGTTCCGCTCTGTAACCTCGTCGTTGTCCATGGCATTCGTATAAGTCGAAGCTCTCTCGTCTCCTCCTCTTTCCGCTCTCCTCCTCCTCCCTCCCTCTCTCTTCCTCCCCTTGTATTTACTTCCTTTATTCTGCCAGATATACAAAAGATCTCAGCTTTCCCCTCCCTCAAATCCCTCAAGTACCCTCCTTGTTCCTCTCCCTCTCCCTCTCATTCTCTCTCACACAACACAGACACACTCAGTGCCTCCCTTCCACCCCCCTACCCCTCTCTCCTCTCCTCTCTCATTCCGCCTTGATCAGAACTGATAAGCCTCTTCGGTCTCTGTGGCTCTTCTTCTTATACCAGCTACCAGCTACCACCCACCAACCATACCACCCAAACAAACAAAACTCCCTTCCACCCCCTTGCGCTGAAAGCCATGCGGTGAACTCATCCCTGCTGTTTTGTGTATGCCTTTGTACCACCTTGTGTTGCTGCCGCGGCATTTCTGAGGGGGTCTCCCCGACCTCGATTGCGCCCTTGTTTACTACCTACCAACCTCCTGGCTGATACTTACCTGTTCGCCCTTCCTTCCTCCCTTCCTTCCCTCTTCTCCACCCACCATGAGGCAGCCGGAGATGTCCCATTCTGCTGTCCACCACCAAGGTGACAACCCACTGATCACCGCTTATTTTCCCGACTCAATACCTGCCGCTCCTCCGGCTGCACATATAACCTCGGACTCACCTCCATTATCGCCCACCCAGCGTCATCTCCACGGAGTGGAGAGCTCCCCTCCGTCGGATCGGGACTCCGGTTACGATACCCTTTACCCTCAGCCGTCAGACTCCCATACGCAGCAGTATCACCATCCTTCCCGCCGGCAGAGTATCCCCAGCCCGCACCAAGGGTCCGTGGACACTGGATACCCTTCCAGTGCGGAGCCCATCATCGTGCCAGAGACGGTTGTCGCGGCGCCTTATCTGGAGAACGGCTCCCTGGTAACCCGAGCTTCGATGACGAGCGAGGCGGTGCGCAAAGAAGGGCGCGGTCGGGGCAGTTGGACTGACCATTCCTCGTATATGTCGGGCGACAATCACTTGAATGGCGCAGCTCGAGTGCACAAACGAGCGATCGTGGAGGACATCACCCCTGAGGAGGAAGAGCCTGATGCGCTCCTGATGTTGGTATGTCTGCTTCCTTCCCGATGGTTCGTCGTATCGTGGCGCAAGCCCTGGCTGACCGCTTCCCTTTGTGCAGTTCCGACTCTCCATCCCTGTTCCTATCTTCTCCTTCATCGCATCCTTTTATACTGTCTTCGGTCTTCTCTTCGTCCTCCTCGTTTCCCCCCTCCGCCTCTGTACCTGCATTCGATACCTGCGAACTACGTCTTTCCGTGCCCAACTATGCGACCTTTTAGTACCACAGTTACACATCCACGAGCGGTTGGTCTGCCTGCGACGGTCGTCGAAGCGATCGGCATCCACGCAACCGATCTATGATCCGGAGGGGTCGTTTGTGGACGAGCCAATAGAATCATACACGATCGGCGGGCTGATCTCGGTCCTGCTGCTGTCGCCCTTCTTTTCGATCGCGATTCTCCTGCCCGCTTGGATCGCCGCATTTTTCTGGATCTTCTCCATGGTGATGGGCAATCCCGACGGCACGGAGCGTAAAGACGATGGTCGCGCCGCGGTCCTCGGGGTCAGCAGATGGTGGCACTTATGGCTGGGAAAAGCCCGGAAGTCGCCGTCCTAGGGCACCGCGCGGTTATGCCATGTGTAGATTGCCTGTTCTTTTTATTATTTTCTGACTCTGTTCTACCAAGCGTCATCTCGTCTGGGCTGTTTCTTTGATGCATGCATGATACCAACGTTTGGGATATGTGGAATGATTTTTCTTTTTGGTGAGTGGGCGCTATCTGGATTATAGGATTAGTTTTATCCTCGACAACCATACATTTTACCTTGCCAGTCGATGATTGCTGGTTAAGATGATTTACTTGTGGGGTTCAATGCCTGAAGAGAAGTGTTTCTTTTGCCGTAGAAGTAGAAGAGCCTTAAAGTGGATGTGGTTGCAAATTTGCGGCGGGGGGGGGCGTTTCAGCCAAAGTCGGTGGTGGCTTCCTTACCGTCTTCTAGAATGAATTGCTTTTGTTTGTCTGAACTCTAACCCGAAGGGGGACCTAGTACTCATCGAGTCGTATTCCCCGCGCAACCAGCCAATCATACCTTGTCAACATACCTCAGTCGATTTTTTGGGGGCGATCATCATTCGAATCCTGATGTTTAATTGAAAAGTACTAGTAGATGTAATGTACTGTAGGAGATAAGATAATCGAAATCGATCCCCAAGCTATAGTGAAACGCGATTAAACTCAGGGGGTGCGTGGAAACGGCCGGGGCGATGGATGGGTGGATGATCCCCCGGACGTGGGGCACCCGCCCGCCCTAACCCACCCTCACCCTCACCCTCACCACCACCACTGCTCCTAACTTATAGGTACTGTAAAGTATTCCTCCCCGCCTCCCCCCCGAATAGGACCACCACACTTCACAAGCAGTCACAGGTAGAAAACAAGGCTGGGACTGTCTGCCTGTACTGTACTATACTGTACTCTCCATATCCTTTTTCCCGTAACTAGTAGCTAGTAGCCAGTCGCCAGAAGAACACCACAGAGTGTGAAATGGATCTCGTAGGCTGTTGCAGTACAGTACCTACAGTAACTACTTCCCCCGGGCTTTTTCCTGATCCAACTCAAGCGTGCACCCCAAAGATAAGAGGCCATGCTCGCTCCTCCCGAGAATAGTGCTCCCTAAAGCGGCAGGGGCTGTGTACTGTGGTAGGTGCGGTAGCAATAGCTAAGATAGTCACTCCGGGAAGTGCTAGTTTCGGGTTGGTCTCGACCTTATTTCAGGTTCTGTTGGGGGGTGGGTGGGGGCAGTGACTTGGAGGGAAATGGAACTGCATATTACTGAGGGTGGGGGTATACGATTGGGTAGGTTGTTGGCTAGCTTCGCTCGAGAGAAGTATGTGAGAATTGGAGGATGAAAAAAGAAAAAAAGAAAGCTTAGGGCCTGAAGTCCTCGGGGCGAGGAACTATCTATGTGTGTGACTCTCTCTCTCTCTCTTTCTCTGTGTGTGTGTGTGTGTGTATGTGTTGTGGATTAGTTGATAATCAAGTACGTACAATAATAATAGACCTCTGTTTTTCTTCCGGGAGATAAGATTAATACTCAATGCCAGTTAGCTTGAGGGTGTAACGACTCATACACGGTTAGACAACACAGGTCTTGCGAGTATTGCTGTTCTGTCTCCAGTGGTGCAGACATCAACTCATTACTTAAAAGAGTTACAGTCCTTTCTTCGATGTCCTAATAGCGAGAGTGAAAGGAGTTTAGAGGGCTATCAGTGAAGCAGGATCACTCATATTGAGCATCTGATATCCAGACTAGAGATTATAGACAAACAACAGACTAGACACCTCGACGAGCAAGACAGGATAGAACAAGACAAAACAAGACGAGGGTATAAAGATACCAACATTCAGAGAAGATCGACAAGAACGAGAACCAGAAACAGAACCAGAGTAAAACATTCTATGTCATTCGTACAAAACAGAAGAAAGAAAAATTTTCATTATGCTTGAGAATCTCCCCAGAGAAGAAGAAGACTGCAGCAGCACAACTTGATCCCTTGTGGGAAACTCCATAGACGGACGTGCTTTTGTTTGAAAAGTTTCGAAGAATGCAAACAAACAAACTGTACTTGTTGTGTGGTTGTAAATGCGTATCAAGATATCGGCGAAGAATCATTTCATAGAGAAAATAAAAAAATAAAGTCCTAATTCATGTCGGACCGTTCCCTGACCCCACCCCTCGGCTCTGGACCTTGCCTTTTTTCCACCCCTCCTCGCTGTCACATATTGACCAGCCTGGATACCCCCCTCCAACTGACTTATCTTCTGTTTCCACGGAATCCTCCACTACCACGGAATCCGCCTCCGCGGCCACCACGGCCACCACCGCGGCCACCACCACCACCACCGCCGCGGCCGTTGGGTCGACCGCCGCGACCATCCCGACGCTTCTCGATGCGACCACCACCGCTGGGGCCGTGGGACTTGGGCACGCCCAGACCACGACGCCCGGGGCCGGGCCGCGAGCTGGTCGCGGCCGCGACAGCGGCGGTGTCATCCTCATCCAGATCCATGTCGTCGCCACCACCACCCTTCTTCTTCTGCGACTGCGCCATCCTGAGCTTACCGCGCTGACCGCGGCGGACGGCGTCGGGACCACTGACGGCCTGAACGTAGGCGTTGATGCCGCTCTCCCCGCCGTTGTTATCGTCCAAGGCGGTGGAAACGTCCCCTTTGTCGTCGTCGTCACCCAGAAGGAGACGGCCGTCGGGGCCGAACTTGGCGTTCCGCTTCTTCCGGGATCCAGGGCCCGTGTTGAGGAAGCGCACGCTGGGTTTCGTGGTCGAGATGCTGGCCAGGGCGTCGGGCGCGAGCAGGTCGAGCGGGTTGTCCTCGGGGGAGAGCTCGCGGATGTACTGCTCGCTCTGCTTGGATCTCCGGCCGTTGTTGCTGTTGCTGTTCTGGTTGCCGCGACCGCGACCGCGGGCGTGCGTGCCACCTTGCTCATCGACGTCGATCTCGCTAGCGTCGTCGTCCGAGTCGGAGAAATCGGAGTCGTACACGGCCTTGTCGAAGGCGTTGCTGTAGGTGCGGCCACCCTTGGCGTTGTTGTCGGCCCCACCGGCGGCGCCGGCGTTCTCCTCGTCCTCGTCCTCGTCACCTTGCTCGCCCTCCTTTCTCTTCTTCTTGCGGCGCTCGCGCTGCTTCCGGATGTTGACCACCAACTTGCGGTCGGCTTCGCCAACCAGCTCCTCAATCGGGGCGGCGCCGAAGCGGCGGATCAGGCGGTCGAGAATACCCTTGACCTTGCTGCGGAGACGACCCTTGTGCTCCTTACTCCAGACCATCAGGTTCGGGACCAGGCTGCTCAGGCGCGCACGGAGATCCTCATCGGACAGAACCACTACCGCGACCTTGACAAAGCCCAGGACGGATCGGACGATCTCACGGTTGTTGCTGGTAAGGAAGAGCTCCACGGTCTGCACAAGATCGGTGCTCATGGCACCAGAGAGCTGAGTGTGAAAGTCGAAGAACAGGCGCGACAGAGCCGTGACGGACGCGGCAACCATGTGAGGTGAGCTACCGGCCAGACCAGCAGAAACCATGGTGAAGAACTCCTCAATGGTGGCGGGGGCATCGGGGGCGTTGTCGGGCATGTGAGGCACAAGGGAGTTACGGATGACAGTGCCAGCCGGGTTGCGTTCCGAGTCAGTCGTTCTCTGCGCAAGGTGGATGAGCAGGTCGAAGGACGCAGTTCTGGTCTTCTCGTTGCTCTCTTTGCAACCCAGAACGACCTCAGAGAGAACGGCGGGGATGAAGTGCAAGTCAGAAGTGGGCAGGTAAGTGATAAGCTCGTGAACAGCCAGCATGCGGTCGCGGCGGGCAGACGACGGTGTCTTGTCGGCGGTAGACAGGATCAGGGTCTGAAGCTCACCACTCCGTTCTTGGAGCGCGGCTTTGCCAGCATCCGTCGTAGCAAGACGGGGAATGAGCTTGTAGGCCTTCTTGATCAATTGCTGATCACCAGTCTGTCCGTTGAGGATGGCCGCAGCCATGGCAAACAAGCTGGCAAAGCTAGAACGAGGCAGATAGATGGACATAGCAATCACGAGATCGATCAGAGTGTGGGAGGTAGGGGGCATCTTGTTGCCAGAGCTGGGCTGCTGAGTGCCCTGCTTGGCTTCTTCCTGCTCGGAAACCACGGAGGATTCGAGCATAGACGCGACACGCGCAAAAGTTTCATTGAGCTCCTGCAAGATTGTCAGTTGGTTAGGTCATAGTTGTTCGAGACACGTTCGCTTTACCTTCTCGGGGGTAATGCTCAGATAAGCATTGATACACTGAAGAATGAAGCCTCTGTAGTGGGGAAGAGTCTGGCTGTAGACGTTGAACAGAACCGCCAACAAGTTGCTGGCGAAGCCGGCCAGATGGGCAATGTTCTTGGCAGCCATTTCCTTGGTAATTCTGCGCTGAAGGATCAGGTCATCGCCTTCCTCTTCGAGGGACAAGATGGCCTGGTTGGACTCAACCAAGTTCTGCAGACCACGACAGATGTCAACACGCAGCTCCGTCTGCTTGTAGAGGACGTTGGAAAGAAGCTCAGCAAAGCTCTGGTCGAACGACTCGATCAAGTCCAGAGGAAGCTCGCAGTAACCGGGCAGGATAGCCCAAGTCTGCTGAACGAGGGTCTCGAAGATCTTCATCTCCACATCCTTCTCGGCGGAGCTGTAGGCCATGACCTTCTGGTACAGAGCTTCACTCAGGGGAACGAACTCAGAGCGGAAGTGGGCAAGGTTGGTGTTGGTGACGTTATCACGAAGAACAGGGAGGAACCAGACACGACCGGGCTGGCCGGGCTTCTGGGTGATGATGTTCAGAGGCAGGATCTCCAAGACTGCCGCGGGACCCATGGCCTCGATAGCACTACCCAGGACATTATCCGCCTCCTTCTTTCCGTGGAACGACTCGTTAGTGCGGAGCTCACCGATCGTCTTGACAATGTCATCGAGGAAGGGGCTCGAGCGCCACTTGAAGCTGTCGAACATGGCCGCGCAAACATTGAACACTTCGGCCCAGGCGGCCTGATATTTCACAGAGAGAAGGTCCATAGCAGCCTTAGCCAGCTTCTCGAGTGTCTTCTCATCGTAGACTGAGGGCTCGATAATAACATTTTTGGGAATGCAGTTTGCAAGGAACGAGACCAAGCACTCTGATGCGGACACACGAATGTTGCGCGAAGGGGAGGCAAGATAGCCGGAGATCATGTTGAACAGGTCAGGGAGCTTCTCGAAGGTATCCTCGGGGCTGGTCTGAGCGGACACATCGTATCCGCGCGACAAGACGGCGATCCAGGGAGGCAGCAGCTGCGAGTCGTTCTGTGCGGGCTTGAGGTCGGTGATCGCCTCCAGCAGGCGAGGAAGCTTGGAGGACGAGAAGTCGTTGGCCATGCTGGAAAAGATGACCTCGAAGACCTCGAAGGCGCCCATGGTGATATACTCGTTGGTAGACCGGGAGGCGTTCATCAGGAGCTCGCACAGCGGCTCAATCTTCTTGCTCGGCCAGCCGCCTGAAGCGACGGCAATCGTCTTGACGAGTTGCAGGGAGTGGATGACGAGAGGGTCGTGGTTGTCCCGGTTCTGGGGGTCGTTGCGACCACGCTTCGCCTTGGCGGCCGCCGCGATGCTATCACCCAGAGTGCGCATAGCAGTCTCTGCGCACATGTCGGCAGCCGGGTGGTCCAAAGAGGGGCTGGGGGGAGGGGTCTTGAGAACCTTGATCAAAGCATCCTGGGCACGTCTCCGGACCTTGGGGCGGTGATCAACCGACAAGCTCAGCAAGCCAGCCATGGCCCGACGGGGGCTGATTTGGGTGTGTGGGAGTTGCCAGGCCGCGACATCTTGGGCGACGAGGAGAGACTCGAGACAGCCGATCGACGGACGGAGGAGCGGGGCTTCGACTTCGGGCAGGGAGAGCGCCGGCGCGAGACTGGTCAGGATATGAGAGAATTTGGAGCGGAGGATCGGTGCAGGGACATATGTGGTGGTGATGTCGAGCAGATACACAACGGAAGTAGCGAGGTCCTTGTTGACAATGCCTTGGGTAGCGGAGATCGACTGGCCAAGAAGCGCCAACAGCGCGGCGAAATAAGCTGTGGCAGAGAAATCGGCTTTCTGATCGCGGAGTGTGTCTTCAACTGCAGAGAGCACGACGGCCGTCTAGGAAGAATGGTCGTCCTGGTCAATAACGTTGTGCCGCGAGGAAGATTGGAGTAATTCCAGATCTTGAAGCCGAAGAGATGAGAATTTGACGGGGGACTTACATGTTGCTGGTTCTGCAGCTTGGGAGACTTGATCTTCTCCAGCTTCTCCGCCAGGGTCGCCATGATGAAACGATCGACCGACAGGCAGTTGAGAAGACGGTCAGAGGATCTGGGATGGATTGGGAGGAGGGGGAGGGTTGAAAGAAGTCGGTGGATGCGGAGATTTTTTTTGTGGTCCGGCGGCGGGATCTTTTGGAATGGTGAAAAAAAGGTACGGGCGGTTCTTGGCGCCGTTTATCGATAGAGCGCGATAACAGATTCGCAGCGGAGAAGAAAGAGACTTGATCACTACTACTGTGGATTTTTCATCGCTGTCTACTAGATATTCATACCTAGTATTCTATTGTCAGTTCATTTTTGATCAACTGGCGCAAATCCAGTCTTAACCTACATGAGCAATATTCTTGACCACCGCCCCATTCCTTCTCGACACCTTGGGAAACTGAATGTAAATTGTCGGAAAGAGCAAAGAAACAAAGAATAGATAGAAGTTCTAATAAGACATGGGAATCGTCATAACATGACCATCATCCACACTAGCTGACCGGAACATCAGAGACGATAGCCTGTGCTCTCGTTCGGTCTTCACCACACACACGCACATATGGTTCACCTTCCAGCCAATTATCCGCGAACCCAGCATATCTCTCGCTTCCATTGGAGAGATCGACGAGCTCTCACAGCCATTGGGAGAGTCGTCCACCAGCCCTACACCTTCTACACAGCTATTTAAAAATCACCGCCCGGGTAAGTGATCAGCGGCAAGCGACCTGTCTCCCTGCAACAGTCCCTGGAGGGCAGCTGGGGGTAGCAACAGGCCATAAGCCAACCGGCAGCCAAGCTCCTATATCCCGCTCCTCGGAATCCAACCTTATGTTTCGCTCTCATCTCTGGAAAACAGCATGGCCGACACAAGCCGCCGTGCAATGGGATGCGATGGTAATGGTGGGGTTCAGGGCAGTCTCTAGAACAAGATCTCCCCGCTGTGTTCTGGCTCGAATCCCAGGGTCTGTAACTTGCCGTGTCGCTTCTTGTCGTTGGATTTGCGTTTGATCTCCTCTTGCTTCTTCAATTCGAACACTTCCTGGAACGACGCTCGTTGGAGGTGAGGGGGCACATCGTCTTCTTTGTCGAGGTCCTGCGGCGATAGAATCTCGGGTTAGTCACAAGCTCGTACACAAGATACAAAATATCATCCAGTCTAGCCATCCCCGAGCGAGTAGAGAAGAAGGCGTACAATTTCTCCGAGAAGCAATACGTTCTCGCCACGGACAAGGAAGATCCCACGCGGGATGTCGGCGTACAGATTCCCCGAGTAGAGGCGTTCGATGGTATCTTGGAGAACGAGGTTGGCTGCATAAGAGAGCATAAGAGAGGCAATTAGAATGTCGTTCCCAAATCGCAAAGCAAGCAGAAGACTCTCCAGAGAGTTGCCCGTGCTTCGCTCCAAAAAGCGTGTGTGTAGGCATACCGAACTGATCCCAACTTCTCAGGACGCCAATCAACTTCCTTCCGTCACGCAAGACCAAAACAAGCTTCTCTGGCGTAAGTGTCAGCCTTCGTCCACCCAGATCTAAGCACTTTCTCCCCGCCCCCAGCGGCGAGAGCCCGAGTCGCAGGCGTAAATCACGTACTGTCGGTCAAATCCAATAATTGAGCGGCTGTGGTGAACATCTGCGGCGGCAGCTGCGGGGGACCATGCGTCATGGGTCCGAGGGTGTTGTTGTTCTGGGGCGGGAATCCCTGCGGCGCATTGCCCTGGGGGCCACCGGCGGGGGATTCGTTGATTGAGAGGCGTTCCATTGTCTTTTTTTGGATCTTCACACTGAGATGATGTGAGGGGAAAGTATTGGTGGGTGGGAATTGGGGTGGGAGTTTAATCAGGGCCGTGTCGATTGCGGGGGTTCGCTCAACTTCGGAGATGCGGGCGCAATGTAAATGGTCAATTCTAGTTTGCACAGACTCAGTAAGAAACGGCTATGAAGCTCTCATTCTGCGCTAGGGAAGCAATCTCCAGCGGTGGGGCTTTTGAGGTGAGATGGAGAGCATACAGCACTGCATCGGCGAAGTTGTTGGTGCGAACGGAAGGAGGTGTTTGCTCTGTTTGTTCGGTGCAGTCGTCATTCTATTATGTGGAGTCTATCAAGACATGGTCGCTCGGATGTGAAGCTCAAAGATGGGGCTTACGCTCGCATGTATACTCTGAAGAGCAAAGTTGATTTCTGGGCTCTATGATCATATACGTTTACTTCACGTACTATATGTGGCGAGCCGTGACGTTGCAGGCTCTCTACGCTTGCATGCGATACACGCTACATGATTGATCCTCGTGTCAAAACACCGCTACGAACGATTGGAATATACTTATGCTGATGGAAAGCTCAATCTGTTTCAGCTGACAGCATGATAAATAGCCCGTCCTGAGAACAAAACTCGGCGTGACCGAAGACCACAGTACGCTGAAGACAAGCCATGAGAGAACAGCTAAGAGAAACATCTACAAAAGCGCTCAAAGCAAGGCAGGGACCATAAAGCCTGGATAGAAACCCGAGTGCGAGGATATGAGAAAAGCTCGCCGGTCGCCTCACCAACTTAATCGACACATCTAATAGAATTCAAACCACACTCACCCCTCGCCGCTGTCTGCGCATCCGCTCTTCTCGGCGCCGACTGTACGGCGCGCAGTACGGCTCGTCGGACGAGCCGATATTTGCCCGGACCGATTTGTGCGACTGGTGGTACGCTGGACTCGACGGCGAAGGGGGCAATTGCATCGCCTTGAACTGGTCCACGCTGATGATCCGCAGCCCATAGAGGTACTGCATCAGCTCGAAGTCGGGCCGGCTGCCGGCGAGGGACTGGCCTTGTTGGTAGTGGGCCGAATCCACGTGGTCGATCATAGCGTCCCAGGCCCCCAAATCGGCCGTGTCGTGGAATCTTGCCCCCTCTCCGGTGCACAGGGGGCAGCGAGCCGTCTTGGGCGGCGCATGGGTCCGGAAATGGCTCAGGACGTGAGTTCGCCAGTCGTGCGCATTGTCGAATGCGATGTGGCAGTCAAGGATGTGGAACAGGCAGAGGTAGGAATAGTGACGATCGTGACTGTCATCGCGAGCCGGGTCGATGAGAGCCCCCGTTCCATCATCTACCAAGAGCGCATGGCCTGCAAGATCGGATGCCCACCGCGTGTCAAGGGACATGTCGGATGAGGATGCTGACTGGGATGCGGTGTCATTCAACAGGGACGGCACAGCCGACATGGTGTCCTAGTGTACGTCTCTTTCGTACGTCTGACTGCGATCTTCTGTGATGAACCTATCTCCGGTGCACCAGCACCGAAGCTCGAATAAGAAGAAGAGTATATGGGTGGTCTGGCCGATAGGAAGCTCTTGGGCGGCCACCGAGGTGCGCTGGGAGCGCTCCCGAACGGAACGCTGGGGTTACGCTCTCCTATTCTGCGAGCAGAGGGTGACAAGCAGTCCTGTTCTCGCCACATAGTTGTTAGCCTGGAGATTGTGAAAAGAAAGCAAAGAGCTTGCAGTTTATTCGGTATGGGAGGGGGAGTGGGTTCGGTCATATAGTTGGCCGCCGCGCGGTCGCCCAAGGCGGGGTTACAAACAAAGTGAAGCGCACACGTTCAGGTTGGGAAGGAAAGGAAGGGAGAAAGAAGACCGCACTCATCTTTGGGCTTACTTTGAACACCGTAAACAATTTCAAACTCCCTGTTACATCAACACAGACATTTCTCGTGTAGTAGCTGCGGGAAATTGTCGCATGGTTCAATATGTTAGACCTTCTAGTTAGGAGCTTCGGTCTTTGTTCGGCAGGAAAAGCGGGGAGGGGAGGGCATAAGTCAGTCAGTCAGCTAGTCAGTCAGTCCTTTGGGAATTAATTGTAAGTACTTCAGGTAGTAAATAGACTATGTAGTTACCTAGTCGACGACAAACAAGTCAATAGGTACAGTACATTGATTGTCATTGATTGTCAAAGTCTACTTGTAGTCAGAGAAGTACTGCTGTACACTACAGTACCTGCTCCTTCCTAGGGCCAAGTCACCCGGGCCCTGGGTAAGGTGGATGTAGTGACTCGTGAGTGTGCTACATGAGCCCGATGGCACAAGCATGCATTTTGCTTATTTAGTCTTGGTCATAGGAGCAATGGGCTCCGGTGCATTTTCCGAGGATCCCGGTGAAGAAAGCTGGGATGTCTTTGGCAAGGAAGAAAATGAATTGCATCAGCAGCGGCAGCCCGACACTCTATTAGACAAGAGGTTTGTTATTTGTACACTTTATGATTATAAGCATACTTTCACTAAGCCTTTAAGGGTATAGATGTGACTCCACTGTATTATACCCGAACAGGAGGGCATATATGATTCCATATCTGAAAATCAATGTAGGTCTTTTGGTTTACTACTTTATGTTACCCTCACCACCTCCACTGCCCTTACCATCATATAGGCGTTGCAATTGTTACTTCGTAATTGTTCAGCGGTATGCAGTGCAGTTTGAAAAGCAGCAGCAGGTGGATAAGATCAGTGACGACGGCATACTGCCGTACATCACGCCGCGAGTTCCGCAGGCAGAACTTCTCGAAAGTGATTGCGTTTCCTCCTGAGCAGAGTCTTGAAGAGGAATCTGGAAATCCGGAGTGATTGGATGACGGTAACGAAAGTACATATATAACACGAGCTGAGGAAATCTACCACAAACCGGCAGTCACCATACCATACCATACTTCATGAAAGCGACCAGTCATCCACATTCGTCTTGCAGACTTCGCCCTCCCAACAAAAGGCAGTCCCGAGAGTTAGCACTCGCCTCCCAAGCATCCAAGATAAGTATCAGCCATTGAACCTTCGATAGGGGTCCTCAGTATCGACCCAGACTTCGACAAGGTTTCAGTGACTATTTTGATTGGCTAATTGGTTGGCTGTTCGATTGTCGGCATTCCTGTATACAAACTCGTGTCTTAAGCATCGAAGAAGTCATGCTGGGCATTCAACGACCTCACATCAAAGCTCGCATACTACCAAGGCTCACTATGAGCTTCACAAAAGATTGTCATGCATCCCAGCAGGTCCAATCGACAAGTAATCGGCCGATTGACACAAGTAGTAGTCACTACTTTAAATACACCTCTGGTCGGTGGCTTATCAATGAGGCGCACCAACTCCAAACGCGCCATATCAACTTCAACGTGCCAGCGCTACAGCGGATTGCCGGTCAACTGATGGGAAGCCGATGTGTTCAAATGGACAAGATGCTCGAGGGGCTTTTCCACAAGGTGTTTTCTTTGCAGATGGAGAATGGGAAGGAGATTTTGGCAAGAATCCCGAACCCCAACGCCGGCCATGCCCGTTATGTTGTGGCCAGTGAAGTCGCCACACTTGGCTTTGTACGTGGGTGCCAATTCCCCTGACCGAATCTCAAGGCTTTGGGCTTGTAAGAGCTTAGTGGGGATTGAACGGAAGTTGGTGAACGCAAAGTTCACCTTGCATGGCAGCCTGTACTATCGAGATACGTTTTCATGCCGGGAAAAAAGAACTGCCGCCCTGGAAACAGCAGATCAAGAGCGCCGATCCGAGTTTGTTTTTGGTCCGACCACGCAGCGGTCCTTTTGGGGGGACGACGAACGCGGATTGGAGATGGACAAGGGTCCTTGTGAGTGTTAATCGTTGTCAATCTCTATCCCAGGAAATCGAGTACTGAAACCGGTGCAATTGAGGAAACGGCTCAGGCGTATTTCGCAGCTATCGCAAAGCGGGAGATATCACGTATACGAACTGCACACGGCAGATCCAGCAATGTCACTACACCTGTGGGCAAAACGCGACGAAGCCGTGATGCTCACATCCAGCTCCTTGAGCGATTCCTAACGGTGCTTCCTTACATTTTACCACCCGAAGAGATCCTTACGCCGGTCCTTTTGCACTCCGACCTTCATCACCATAATATCTTCGTCGACCTGTCCGATCCCACCAACATCTCCAGTATAATCGACTGGCAAACTGTTTACACCGTCCCGATGTTCATGCAAGCGAGGTACCCTTCAATGTTCACTGCGACGACATATACCCATGGGAGCCGGTCCAACCTCAGCTACCCGAAGATTTCGAAACCCTCTTGGCGGCCGATAAAAAGCAGGCGGAAGATCAGCTTGACCGGCTCTGATTTAAAATAGTTCTACGAGCTGGCGTCGCGGAAGTTCAACCCGGCTCTTATTGATGCAATGGACAAGATGCGAGATGATAGTGATCCGACCACATTCATATTTCACATTGTCGAACGGTCCTCCGAGGACGGGCCGATGCCATTGAAGGAAATGTTAATCCAGGTATTTGAGCGATGGGACCGCATCATAGAACGATGAGGCTCCACCGAACCGTGCCCCATCTCGTTCTCGCGGATCGAGATCGAAGAGAGTCGGCAGCAGTTCGAAGCCTGGGCAACCGCGTTCGGGGAATTTTGACGGTCTGCGGGCGGAACTTCTCGGTGACGATGATGGCTGGGTCTCCCATGATGACTACGAGGGAGCTATGAGCAGGCGGGAGAAGAACAAGGCGACTCTGGGCTGCCTACGGGAACGATTAGAGACCTTGCTCTGATATCTGCCCCGGACAATCGGAGTTGATCCAGCAGAGAGATCGAGTGTAAGTAGCGTTGCATGGTAACCCGAGTCATCAAACCCGCATATCAGGCTTGACCGTAGAATAGTCCAGATACATATATCACGCGTGTACAATCATCTTTCTTTATTTCTCCGATTTATCAAGATTTCCAGGCCAGGATTCCCGAAAAGAGTTAGATCCTATAAACCAGAGCAATAATTCTTCGGCTTTATCCAACCCAACCTTGCAGTCTACTACTCTGTCAAAAGCAGTCCATAAAATTCCGCAAAGGAGCAGTCCCAAGATTGGGTGAGTAGGTAGGGATGCTTCACAGTAAGCCAGCACTAAAAGAAGAAGAACGTGTATACAGTTCATGTGAGCTTCCCGCAAGGTTCATATGAACCGAACCCCCCCAAGCTCTACGTGACTCTTAAGTAAAAATAAATGTTTCTATGATACCTTGCCAATTTGACCATCTTCTACTGTTGACATCTCATCATCCTCGGAAGATCAGATCTCCCTGACGGAGAATCATAAATAACAAAAATGATAATAGTAAGTATTCCGAATTAAAGACCCCAATGTATACCGATGAATTCTTCAAATCTCAATCGGAGAGATTATAAAGGGAAAAAAAAAAGTAGTTATCAGGTAGTAAGGTCTAGAGTCCAACTGTGAAAAAAAAAACAAAGATAGTATAAGATAGATCCCATCTCGAGTATAAGTGATCGGATCAACACTCACTTCAGAAATGACATAATCAGACTGCGTCCGAATCGATTTTTGTACCGCACGACCGAGATAACTAACGAGGTCGGCTGAACTGCTTCCTGTAAGTTAGTTGACTTATACCCTAAGGTAGAGTACAGCACCCGTGACCTAGTCCTTGATTATTCGTTTCCAAGAGCCAATCCCAGGCCGAGCGCATATCTCTAGGCGCCCTTGCTACTAAAATCATTAGGTCACCCACTACTACTAACTAACTAGTAGCCTTCAGGTACACCTCCTTGATTGACATGCCAATCCGGATCACGCGATCGCGGCCTCCCCATGGCCAACTGACACGGGCCAGACCTTTCCAGGCTCTCGTCTCAGTGCCAGAACCGGTTTCGCAAGTGTTACGAAGCCTACAGAAATACAAAGAACTGTACTAAAGGATACTAAAGTGGGCCCTTGATATGTATTGTTTCCAATTAAGGTTGATGTATATTGTGGTAATTCCTCTCGTCCTGCTCGAGGTGGTCTATGGCGAAAATAGTGAAGAATGAAAGAACAAAAGTCAGGTCTATCAATGTAACCCAGAATGGAAAGAAGGAAAACAATCGGAAGCAAGAATGGTAGTCGGTATTTTTCATCCTCGTGGCTACAAGGCCATGAGGGACAGGAGCTGAGCAGCGAATCCCGCTGCCCAGGTTTGGATATTGAAGATAGGAGATGTTCCGAGAGGAGAAGGGGGAATGTGATCAGGAGATCAGACACTCAAGTGAGAATCGGAAGGGACAGAAACAATTCACAAGATATCCCATCCATCTATTGGTAGTGACGCCTCGCAAAAGAATACAAAGAAGTGTATAAAAGCCATGAGTCCAAAGCAATGTAAAGATAATAAAGAAAAAACCGCCCAACCAATTGACACCGATGATGCCCATGAACCATTGTAAATGCACAAGTCTATTCGGTCGTAGCACGCATGAAGATATAATGCTTTTTTGTCGGAATCCAAGTTTACAAACCCAAATGTATCGGCACGGGGGTCGATTTAAAAGGCACGGTCGGCCAAATCGCCGCCCGCGACTGAGTTGGCGGTGGACGAGGTGACCGAGGAAAACCCACTGCCAGGATTCAACATATCCTGGACTGCCACTTTCGGTACCTGAGGAACAGGTAGCTTGCGCTGTGTGCCATCGGGTTTGGACATAATATCGGTGATGCTCGGACCATGACTCTGACTGGGGCTGTAGTAACTGGGACCCTCCGGTTGTGGCTCCATGGGAGCCAGGGCGGGGGTGTGGTGGAGCGACAAATGACGAATTGAGGGAAGGTGTAGATCGCTCGATCCCAGAGGTCTCAGCCGCGGAGAGTGGGCGGGGGTAGCCAAAGGCGTGTGGTCAGGAGTAGGTGAAAGGGAGTCATGCGAGAAGGTGGGCGAGGATGGAGCGGTCGAGTTGGGCGAATTGGGCCTGGAACGCTTCACACGATGAGAATAGCTGTCGTCTTCTTCATGCGAGTGCGACCGGCTCATGTTATGCGTGATCGCGTACGCCGAGAGAGAAGGCAAACGACCGCTGCCGTGGTGGCGGGAGCTGCTGAACAAGTGGTGATTGCGAGGGCCGGCATGGAAGCTGAAGTGGTCGTCCCGCTCCACCTGGGAGGCAGCGGTGGCAAGGAGATTGATGTCCATGCCCGAAGATGCCCGCTCGGCGTTACGGGCGTAAGGCGCCAAGTTGGAGCGCATGTGGTTGGCATAGTTGGAGAAAGAGTGGGGAGGAGAAACGTCGGGAGAGCCAACTTGCGAAACAGGCGCAGAGCGAGTCATCGGCTTGCTGGGAGGGGGCATCAGGGCCCCTGCATTGTTGGGCATCGCATTCTCCTGACCAGCTGCGGCCGCAGCAGCCGCAGCGAGATGCTGAGCCTTGTTGCTGCGCCTCGAGTTGGGGTTGTTGTGAATTCGCGAGTGGCGAGTGAGTTCGTCAGAGCGACTGAATCGCTTGGTGCAGCCGGGAAACTGGCACGCGTGAGGCTTCTCGCCCGTGTGGGTGCGGATATGTCTCGTTTGGTGCTCCAGGCGGTGGAAGGCACGATCACACAGCGGGCACTTGTACGGCCGAGGAAGATCTTGGCGCACTTCTTCGGTCGCAGGACGGCTACCCTTCATCAAAGGAGGGAGAAGACTGACGGACGAAGCCATAGTAGAAGTGGATTGAGCGCTGGACGGAGTAGAAGGACCTCTCGAGCTATCCACAGGGGTGGTAGGTGAGGACGGAGTAGACTCAGTCGAATTGCTCTGAGGATTCAGCAGATTGGAGAAATCCACTGAAGAGGCCGGTGGCGGCATGTGAAACTTTCTCTTAAGACGGGGAGCGAGAAGACAGTGAGAGGTAGGACAGGGCCGGAATTTGAAAACCCGTGCGAAAGGGATGAGCAGCCGAGGCGATAGGCCGTGTGTCGCGACCAGGGGGGGAACAAGGAGCTTATATCGGCGAGTCGATCACCACCCGCTAGTATAAACCACCCAGGCCTAGCGTTGCCAAGAAAAGGTCGAGCAGTGGATGTCGCAAGGAATGATACAGTCCTTGTGACGCGACCGGGCTTAAAGTAGATGTAATCTTGATAAGCGTTGGCTAACCCGACTCAAGACAATTCTGGACAATGTAATCGGATTTTCAACAGACAGGAATGCGGAATGTGGTGGGTGAGGAGGAGGAGGAGGACGAGGAGGATGATGAGATGATGATAGTGTGGTGGCAGGCCGGAATCGGAAATGAACCCCGGTGCTGAATGACGAGCCGAGAAAGGCGAATGTTGGAATTGATGAGTCTCGAAGAGGAGGGGAAAGAGGCAGAAATCTGGAGAAATGGATCTGGGGAGGAGGTGATATAAGAAAGGAGAATCGGAAGAGTGAGAAGGAGGAATGGAGGGGAAGAAGAAAGAAACGGAGCTCGGGGGAGGGGAGGAGGGAAGGGAGAGTCGTAGAGGGGTGGGTTTATCGGAATCGGAGGACAAGAAGGGGAAGAATGGGTAAGAGTGAAAAAAAAGGGCAAAGAAAAAAAAGGTAAAAAAAAAAAAAAAAGAAAAAGAAAAAAGAAAAGAGAGAAAAAATGTACATTGTGTGGGGATAAATATCGGGGGGGCAAAAAGCAGGCTCTGGAGACTAGTTGAATGAAAAGGGAAATAAGAACGTGCTTTCCGGCCAAACCTGATCGGCTGCTGGTCTTAAAGAGGATTCAACCGGTCACTCTTACCAGCCTGATGGGACACCTGTTTTTACATATACCTTTCAATGTTTCTTTTTTACAGAGTACATATCGGACGAATAGAATTTCAATACCATGGTCCTTGATCTGATCTTAGTATGTCTCAATGCCATGAATAGGTTGTGTTTCTTATTGTTGTAGTTATGGTTCATAAGCAAGCAATTGACATTCAAGTCTTCAATACGTTGCCTATCTCGGGTCTCTTCCGTCGCCTGATTTTCGGTCCACGCACGGTGTGTCAGGGAAGAAAAAAAATCCACTATGACCAACCGGGAAGGGCGACGCTCAGAACAGGTGAGGGTAACGAAAAGAGTAAGAAAGGAGGAGAGATAGAAAAAAGCAGAGAGAGAAAAGAAAAAGAATGTGGGGCTAAACTAGAGTCGATAGAGATTACGGAGTAGAAACTGGAACTGCAGAAGTGGCTGTGTGGCCTGGAGAAGTGCGTGCCCGGTATTATCGGGTGTTGGCCCGTTGGTATGGAGTAAGTTCCAGTAGGTAAGGTAAAGAAAAGCAAAGCAAAGCAGAGCAGAGCAAAGCAAAGCAAAGCAAAGCAATGCTCAGCTCAGCTCAGCTCCGTATGGTACATGTAGAAGGTGAACTGAACCTCAGTCTTCCACCCCTTTTCATCTACAGTCATAAACCGGCTATCGCGGATGCCCTCGGGGGGAAATGAATGAGTGTATTGTATGATAAGATATCATTGTTGTTGGTAAAGGGCCCCCCCCCTTTCCACCATCACCACCACCGCCATCATCATCCTTTTCCCTCCCTCACAATTCTCGCTCTCCACCATCCGGGGCAAAAGGATCTGGTGGTGATCAAAGGGAGCTCGATTACGTGATTGTGTTCCGCAAGTCAGATAATGCACACAAACATGGATAGCTATTCAGCCAACCTTTCTTTTCCCATGTGATAGCTACACACTATTGACTTGAAAGGTGGGTGCGTCCCCTATCTCGCCCACCATGAATAGACTTCTGGAAGGGCAGGATGCTGTATTGGAACTCAACCAGCTCTCTCTGCGTGATACGGTCAGATGGTGGGGGAATGGGGGGGTTGAGTAAACATAGAATATCCCCAATCAACCCCCCCAAGGCTGTCCCTCCGCCCCCCAACTCGCCGCCCCCGTCCATCTTCCCCAAGGGTCCCTTCCCCAGATGATGCCATCCTGTTGTGATGAGATGAGAGTCGATGATGAAAAGATGAGGTGATTGGTGCTACGAAGGGGGATCATCCAGTATTTCTTTTCCTAGAGAGGGTTTGTTATTTGTCGATTACAGTATTTCTTTTTTGGGCTTTGCTTTGTGTTTTGGGTTTTTTTTTTGGCAAACCCTTTCCAGTTCCCTTAACTAGGAAGTCCGGGGCATACCCGGGGGAGACCAAGAAAAAAAAAGGAAAAAGAAAAAGAAAAAGAAAAAGAATTGTTCGACAGATCTTCAGAACCGCCCAGTCCAGACCAGTGATCGACCGACAATCAGGCGAGGGCTGGTTAACTGAGAATCTTAAGATAAGTCCATAGGCAAGCTGAGGAGACGGTCTGGGGTTCGAATGTAAGGTTTCCCAATGACATCTCTCCGTGACGGAAGCGGTGATCATGCCAAAAGGGCTGGGTAAGGCAGAAGCGGTACGCGGAGTCAAAAAGTCATACGATGGACGAGATTCAATACATCATCGTCCTCATCCTCATCGGTGAGGAGGGGGGGGAAGGCGCCCCAGAGGGGAGAGGTTTTTTGATGAGGCTGTTGGATTGTTGGCGACGGCAGCCACAGGGCGAATTGGAAGGGCGACGAAAAAGAGCCGGGATGACATGCCATGCGGGTAAATGGCGAACGAGCGGCCATCCGTCGGCATTTCCTTATTATTGTGGGGGAAGAAGAAAAATAAAGCCAGCATTGCATCAGACATCAACCATGGATGGCTCGTCAGCCCTTCCTTTCCTTTCCCCATGGGTCAGAACAGCGGACGAGGCGACACAATACAACCCCACAAACTCACCTGCCTCCGGATATTACTCATATTAACGGGTGTTGATTCGAGTAGAGTACGGGGAAGGCTGCGTTCCCTTCTTTTTTACCCTTTCCTTCTCAGCTCTCTGGGTGCTGAAGGCGCCTAGAACTAGGCAGGTAGGCAGGCAGGCATGAATGAAGGCTGCGACGTGGGTGATGCGCAGCGAAGGTATGCGCAAAATCATGTGGTCGGTGCACACACACATACAGGGTCGACGAGAATCGCAATCGCAATCGCACATCATATCTATGCAAGATAGGGGAGGTCATCTTTGGAGTAGAATACACTGATATCCTTAATTAACCGACTGTCAAGCTTCGCAGGTGCGATTAACCCGTTCCAAGTAGCCCGGAATCGAGGCCTCTCACCACCCCTTGGCCTAGCGCTTACTATTCCCACCACATCGGAGGGGACCCTGCATCGTTTCATCGGTGCCAGGCGTCTACAGGAGCTTTTCCGCTGATGATATTGACAGGGGGATAGGGTGATTACTCAGTATCTCAAGACAGAAAGACGAGGAGTACATATAAGGAGGGGCCGAAAGACGACTAATTGTTGATCCAACGCAAAATAGAATCAAGTCCGGAAATTGAACTCCGCAATAGATTATCCCCAGGTCCCAGACCACCTCTAATCTCCCTAAAGCTCTGCCACCGCCGTGGACGGAGTGAATTTCCCCGGACGGGCGAACGAGGGATATTTAGTTAGGGGAGAGGGAGGGGGGAGCCTGAGGAGGTTCATCCGACAAGGGAAATCCCCGTGCGGGAACTCTGCTTGCTGATATGAGGAGGGACAGAATTGGGCGTATAATGAACCCGCCACCGATCCGACTTGACTAATGATATTGTCTGATTGTCGCATGATACTCTTAAGCGACTGAAGGAATAATAATGAGACTATGGAGGAGGAGGACCCTAAGCCCAAGCGTCATCCGGGATAAAGTGAGATACGGGTTTTCGGCAACTCCAGCCAGCCATTAGACAATCCGCGAACCACTGGTGTACGGTGCATTCTCTGCTCAATGCCCGGGTGGTGGTAAAAGCAATCACATGTCACTAGACGATGATAGATCTTATCTTCATGCGTCTCGACGCAATCGCCGGCTGATAGTTTCCGCTCTCACACCAGGGTATGGTTCTTGGTATGTAAGGGTCAATGGGCCGCTGGGGTTAGTATTTGCGAGAGGAATGTAGGTACTTACGTACTTCTTTCGAAAATATACTTGTACTAGTTATGATATATGACGAAAGGACAGGTTGGAGGACCGATGAGTCAAAAGCGAGTATGCTCAGGGCAAGGGCAAAAACATTAGAATTCGTAATTAGGATGAATATCCGGGAAATCGGAACACATCCATGCACCAAGCCGTCTGGGCAGTTCTGTAGATCGCAGATAGCCCCAACCCCGAGGGGTCTGGGGAGGGAGGAGGGAAAGGGGGGTGCAACCCCAATTTGGTCCACTAGAAAGAATATCACAGTCACATTGCCGCAGGAGAACGTGATTCTGAAAACGCCTGTCCATTGGCCTTTTGACGATAAAACAATACCAGATGCACTGGATGTAATCTATCGACCGCATAGTAAATTCTCTTAACGCCGATGTGAGCTTATCGCAGGGATCGCAGGACCGATGATACGTAGGGCAAGGGCAAGGAGGTGGTCGGTAGAGCCGACGGAGAAAAGCTCCCCGCGGTTGATATCGTGGCCGTGGCGGTTCCCCTGGGTCTGATAGGATAAACTCGGCTGTCTGGGCTGTGATCTGGAACCCACCCCCACGACCCCGCCTGACCTGAAGGTTTACCCGCCTAGAGAGGAAGGAATAGCGACCCGGAAGAATTATGAGTGCCATTTGGGAAAGGTCAGTACCTAGTCTATTAGTTATTGTTTACTAGATAATGAGATCTGTGAGATAAGGCAGGCAAAAGTACGGAGGTATTGCCCATACGGGGACATCTAGGATATCAGTCACGGGGTCACAGGGCTATCAATTTGTAGGGCCTAGAGCAATGCTCAATGATCATCTGCTCGACCTTATCTGGCAGAAAATCTTGCTTCTTTCATGCTCTGCATCCAAGGTTGAGTAGAATGGAGGGGGGGGAGAGAGGAAGGGGGAGGAAGGGATGAGGTGAGAATGAGATCAGCTGCAAAATCCCAGCTGAACGCCTTCTCATCCTTCTCATGGCTGGAATGGCTGATGCCGGGCCGACTGCCGGCGCTTTGCCGGCCAGCAGGACGGACGGCACCAAGTAGGGTAAAGCATGCATTGTGTGGGCTCAGGGCTCCAGACTCCCCGGTGAGTCTGCGATAACCAGCAAAAAGCGAAACCCCACCCCCATTGATTATTCTCCAGGCTCCAGCTTTGGGTTGGTGGAACAAATGGGGGAGCAGACCTGGGGGATGGTACGCAGGTACGGCACCAAGACTACGTAAGTTGCCCCCCAAGCTAGTCGCC